GCAAGGAAAACACGATCAAATACCTTGACTGTGAAGTTGATGCTTTTGGTAGAAGAGCCTCTAACTACAATGGAGAAAAACATTTCATTTCAGAATAATTGTTTTTGTAATTATTACAACATGCAAAGAACCCTGACTAACTAGCTAAATGTACCTCATCAAATGCTGCACTTGCTATTTCTTCATCTTCTTTTGACTGAAAACAAATCAAGCACTCACTCAATATCATTAATGAAAACACATGCATACAATAGACTACTTATTGCTGTCTGTCAGTCTGCAAAAGACCTTTTGCAATGTTTGCATTGCTGTACATGTATGTTAAAACACAGTTAATGTGTGAATTCCAAGCAAATGATTGCACTCTTCTTTGACTATAATGACAGTAGACTCTTGAGCAAATACTTTTGTGAAACAAAAAAAAACTTTCATTTTTGGAAATACAAGTTTATCCTACTATTATATTTGGTAGAAATTGAAGGTTATAAACCCATTTCAGCTCATGGGAATACAGCTCCAACTGGAGGACAAAACAATAGATTCTAGGAGAGAGGGCAAAAATCTTTTGTTTTGTACTCCAGATGAAACTGCTTTGACCTCACATGCAAGTGGTCTCCTAGTATTGGTAATAACAATATGCTATTGTAAGTAGTTGAGACTGCAGTCATCCACTTTGAACTGGAGATGAGGCATCATCAACCAACTTTTCAGGGCTTTTCAAGCATGAAATGCTGACTTACTATCTTCTCTTTTTCTTCTTTGATTTCCTTGTCAGGAAGAGAAAGTCCAGGAAACAACTTTTTTCTTTTCTGCACTTCAGGATTTGTTGGGAAATCATCATTGTTTTCTACCTTTGAAGAACCTTAAAAAAGTATTACACAAATCAATAATAAATATTTAGTTTTTATTATCACAACACCACAGTTACTAGTTTAAGTTAAGCATACAGTTAAGTTTGTTGTTTGAGCACTATTAAGTTTCAGTACAGTATTGTATAATGTTTCTGCAATGCATGTATCACAACTAAAAACCCTGTAGAATTTATAGGATTGCACTGTGACTGTGTCACTACCATGTAAAAACATTTGATATTCTTACATAACAGTTAACAGTTCTATCTTCAAGGACATGCATGTAGGAATATGGTCAAAGAAACTAAGATGATTATAGTCTGGATACATGTATTTGTATACTTATAATCACACAATGATCTAAAGACACTTTTATTCTGATATCTCATGCATCACTTGTATGTATGTACATGTACCTGGTTCTGCTTTTATCTGTTTTGGTCTCATCTTTTCAATAAGTCTCAGTAAGTTAGCGGCAAATGAATCCTGGAAAGGCATACAATGTATAATAACTTAATAAAATTGTACATATAATTATTATTTCTAATTATTCCAATTAGATTATACATGTATACATGTATGTAGTACATACAAAAATAACAGTAATTAGCATTCACTTACAGGAAATTCAGCTCCATTCTTAGCTAGGTTTTCTTTGAATTCATTTACGTCAGCACTTTTTTCTCCAAGCATGATAATGAATTCAGCTATTGATGTTCAAAATCAACCAATTCGTTAATTAGAATAATCATAAATTATTCCTATAACAATCTAAAATGTCAACTATATAGTTCAAGTAATAAGTAATTAAAGCTCATACATGTAGATAACCAGTTGAACAGCTGTAGTGTATGTGTATTAGAGTGTTAAAATGTCAGTTTGAGTTTGATCAAATCTTTGTGAAAAAGGATATTGTTTAGTCAAAATATGCTGTATAAAGGCCAAAGATGTTAGTCCAAAAGACTCTATGTACTTCAAAAACAAATCAGGATGATGGTTTGTGACAGACCATATACATGTATGAGACCTGAGAGATGTAGTGGTAAAAGGCATCAGCCATTGGTGGGTGTACAGTTCTCAATTCAATTCACATACTGACTGATCATGTTTTGTCATTACACTTTACCCTATCAGGGCCTTGTCTTCTCAAAAAGTATGATAAGTCAAAGGTCCCATCACTATACACTTCACATTAGCAAGAGAGAGATGTAAAAGAATGCACACAACAATCTGACTACATACTAGTAAGGGTAGGGCAAAATAGCTCCCCTGAAGGTTGGTCAGGGCTTAAGTCTCAGGTCTAAGGTCCCCTTCTATCATTAGCACAAGCTCCATTAGTGAGTACTAGTTCTTTGTTCTATTTTAATTTGTAGACCAATCTCATTTAATATTTTTGTTTTATCAAATTACCCAATAAGTTCATCAAACTGACCATAACATAACCTTTAACAATGCAGCTGTCCAAAACTGACAGTTTCTGGTTGCATTTTGGTTTCTTCAGTTTATAAATGTATAAAAAAGCATGAAGAATAAATTCTGTGATGTTTTGATGAAAAAGTTTATAAGATTACATGTAAGACTTACATGTAATATAAAATTAGGAATCAAAATCATTCTTGTCACTTTATATAGATTACTCAAACGTGCAGACCATGACATGGTATACTATATAAATGCTCGAAGCATAGGTTAACTTACCCAGTACTTTATCGTCTATACCGAGATGGTTATCAAGCTCTGTACAAACTTTTGAAACAAGYGAAATYTGCTCCAGTTGCTGTAGTTCGTCCATGATGGATGTCAATGACAGTCTCCCCTTCTAAGTTGAAAGATCAGTAGAATAATTATTGCAATTAAGTTGTCCTGGTGTCAGTTTAGCAGGAGCACTTCCTTAAAGTTGCATTAATTCATTGTTCTAAGAAATAACTACATGCAGAACTTTAAAAATAACGAAAATTTGGTCAACGTGCTTCGAAAACGTATTATTCTCGTGTTTTTGAGCCTGCGATGATGAATGTCAGAGGATTCACCCAATCTAAATACGCGCATTACACATAACCTTGTCAGCGGTATTGTCCATTAGGACAAAGATTGCACCACGGAAATGGACATCTCACTTTTTACTAGGTTTCGTACATAGAGGTTTTGTTTGTTCGTTGTTTTTGGGATTGGGACGCAAAAGAGAGGTGAAAAGATTGTAAGAACGCTGATCAGAGCTGTAAGGAATTATGGTTTAATATCTATGCTTTAGGAATGTTCGCAGTTTATATATCGCAAATATTTCTAGTGTTTTTCCGCGGGACATTTGCACGCACATCAAGACGTCACCAGCGTAACTTCAAATTTTGCGCTTTTCGAACTTATGTCTTTTATATTTTCTAGATATCCAGGCATGAGTAAAACAAGTGGAATTGGTGAAGCTTCTGCTGGAAGCAATGAAAGTGAGTCGACCAATGATAAGAGAAAGACAACTTCTGGAGGTCAAGCAAAAGAACATCAGGAAAGGGCTAGAGGTGSTCATGGAAGACCGTCTAAGCAAAAGAGACGYCCTCAATCAAGAGATCAGAAAGAACCACAAGAAAGAAGCCGAGACCAAAGTGCAAAAGATGATAAAGATGTCATAAGTTGGCTGAATAAGAAAATTACAAAACAAGAAAAAAATGTGGAAACGGGAAGAAATGCRAAATATTCCAAAAACGCAAAACATTCACAAACTACACATAATAAAGCTAYTGGTAGTGTTGAAARCTGGAGGGATAGGAATGTTGAGATGCAAGGTGCAAATGGGTATTCTAGGGAAAATCCAGCACACAGAAAAAATGAACGGGAGAAATATAGAAAAGATGGGAGATTTAAAGGGCAACATAGTCAAGTATTAGATACTGAAAGAGGAAAACAAAGTGAACAATTCAATTCTAATAGTAGAGATAGGAATGATATTAAMATAGGAGAACAAAATACTAAATATCAAATGGAAACAACTGGAATGAAAAGGGAAAGTGGGATGAATGATATAGTAGAAATTGGTGCTAATGTTAATGTAGTGAATGGGAAGTATGTTGGTAAAAGTAGACATTCTGAACACCAGGATAATGGTACCACCATGCAAGTGGCTGATGATGATATTCAATACAGAAACTATACAGATAACATTGGGTTACAACCTCAAGTTTATGTCTATGGGGGACTCCATGTGTATAACTTGCCAAATATGGATCAGCAATACTATCCTGGTGGGCCACAGTGGTATAACTATGGCATGGAACAATATCAAAACTGGAGTCAACAGTGGCATGATCCATATAGTCACAATATAAATGACAATAAATCTGCACAATATAAGGCTAAAGAAAAGACTGAACACAAGATTTACACTAGAAACACTAGAGAACAAAAAAGAAATGTTATTGTTGATCCTAATCATTCTGTACAAGCAAGTGTACTTACAGAACAGCTGATTAATGAATCGTATGAATGCATGGTCTGCTGTGAGAAGATTAGATGCCATGCGTCAGTGTGGAGTTGTGCAAACTGCTATCATGTTTTTCATTTGCGATGTGTGAGAAAATGGGCCAGTTCACCTGCTGCATTAGTAGAAGGTACACTAAATTCATTTGATTTATAAATTTTATTAATCTTATTCCCAGTTAATTGTAATATTTCTTGTTTTGTTTAGGTGAAAATGGAGGTTGGAGATGTCCAGCCTGTCAGAATATCAACCATTCAGTACCAAATGTTTATCGTTGTTTTTGTGGTGAGTTAATGCTAATAACTGCTTCCTTRTACCACATTTTAATCAATATTAATCTTTTTCAAACTTGATTTAATAGAAAAGTCAATTGATCCGGCGTGGAATCCCAGAGAAGGAATAACACCACACAGTAAGTTAATCTTTTACCTCCCTGTAATGACTGTAAATACTTTAAGTGCTTTTGATAATGTTCTTCTTTTACTTGTGATACTCTTATGCTTTTTAAGGGTGAATTCTATTGTTGTTGTTGTTGTTTTTGTTTCTTAGTTTTTCCTTTCATAGAACTAATTATCTGTATATTACCTTTGCTGTACTACAATGTATATTGTATAAAGCTATAACAATACATAACATCCATGTACTTGATGCACTCAACATCTCTATTTTTTAAGGCTGTGGAGAGCTATGTCAGAAGAAAAGAGAATCATTAGACTGTCCTCATCTTTGTAACCAGTAAGTAAAGTATCACAATAAACATGTGAAGGCTGTGGTGCATGGTTCACTTATTTGTTATTTTCCTTTTTTCCAGACTTTGTCATCCAGGTCCTTGTCCAAGTTGTCCTGTAATGGTGGCCAAGTCATGTATGTGTGGGAAAATGAGGTATGTCATCTTTAGTAAACTGTTATTCAAGGTACTAACCATAATCACCATTTATACATTGATTGTAACATCATCTCACCATCCTTTTTATTGATGCACTATTTACACATTATCCCATTTGGATCAACCATCCATTTTCATTCTTTTCCCTCTATTGTGGTATATAAACAAGATGTTTTGGTGATTTCTTGTAGTCAGCAAACAAGATGTGGGCAGAATACTGTCATCCAGTGTAAAGAAGTATGTGGCAAGACTTTGAACTGTGGAGTACATGTTTGTGACCGTGTTTGTCATGCAGGTAAGTTCAGCTCTTTGGTTGTAATAAATTATTATGCTAGAAAAGGTTGGTGATTAGGGTAGGGTATTGTTTATCATAACACAACTAATTGCTAAGTTCTGTCAAACATATTATGATTGATAATGCTGTTGGTTTTATTTTCTTAGGTCCCTGTGATTCATGTGAAGTTGATGAAGAGCAAGGTGAAAAAAATGTTGATAATAACATTGCAATATTATGATCATTATTAAATGGTATGTTTATTTAATTATTATGGTTTATTATTAATGGTTCATTCTGATTTACAATAAATACAGCTTGTTATTGTGGAAATGCAACAAGGCAAACAAAGTGTGGAGCAGGTAATGGAATTATCTAGTATGTTATTATACTATACAAATAATGAATTCAATCTGTTGACAAATGATCAAGTAAATAAATTAACTGGATAATAGTTATAAGAATAAATGAAAGAATGGTTGATGGAGTACAAATTGTTTGGATAATGTCTGTGAAAAAGTATATTGTTAAACTACTTAATTAATAATAGTGTTGTTTAGGCAATAAAAACAAATTATCTATACATTATTTAGCACCTATTTTCAATATTGTTCTTCATTTTTACATGTCACTATTATATATTATTCGACTGTTACACACTAATAAGTACTCTATTTGTGCCTTTAGGTGAAATGGATGTAACACAAGGCAGGAAAGGGTATTTCTCTTGCAAAAAGATTTGTCAAAGGTATTAGCACTGAATTAGCCATGAAATTCAGGGTAAACCCTTGTCAGTCAATAGCAAGATTATGGAAGACTATGAAAAGAAATTGATGCTCACTTTCTGTTTTTTTTTTTGTTTGTTTGTTTGTTGTTGTTTTTTTCCAGGTCATTGGACTGTGGAAATCATAGGTGTGAGAGAGAATGTCATAAGGGAAAATGCAACACATGTAAACTAAAGCCATCTAATGTCAGYCTTTGTCCTTGTGGTAAGACATTACTTGAAGATCTACTGACYGAGCAAAGACAGTCRTGTTTGGATCCTATACCAACATGTAACAATGTATGCAACAAAGTGCTGCCATGTAGTCCAGGTACTTGCTAATTGTGATTCTGTTTTGTACAACCCAAAGCTTGAAATAATATACAGCCAGTAATACCAACTGCGCACAGAAAACTATGGACTATCATAAATCTAACAATCTGATTGTCCTTGACCATGTGACACAATAGTGCCTGCCGTGGAGGAGTGCTACTAACAGTGCATAGAGCCCCGCGCTGCATCAGAAAGTTTGTTGCTGGGACAGTTGCCCTTGAAAAACTGGATATATTGGTTTATTTATTTATTTTTATTTTTTTGTCTTTATTATATTATTTTTAAGGTGATATGTCTTCACAACATCGCTGTAAACTAACATGTCACCATGGTGATTGTGGCCCATGTGATGGGAAGACGACACTGATTTGTAGATGTAGAGCTGCAAAGAAGGTCTGCTGTGAATTCAACACCTACTGCAATAGTATCAATATTACTGTATAATTATTTTCTATGTTTTGTTTTTAGGAAGTGAATTGTTCTGACATTAATAATGAAGGTAATTGTACTGTAGACCTTCATTTGTAAAATTAATGATGATCTTAAACAGCTATTTGACAAATAGATTTTCTAACCATTTATCTGTATTTCTGTACTCTAATAGTTGATATCAAAGACGTTATGTGAACAATACATTTTGAGGTCACCTATGTTATTACAGTTTAGACTCATAGATAAATAGAACTTTTTACATAAATTTTTTCAAGTGTAAGTAATTTGATTGAAACGGTTGAATGAAAAGACACATTCACTGCTCCTAGCCAACCAGGGTGCACTTGAATGGCATCATTCCTACTTTCATAATAATTGAATAATTCACAGTTCTGGACCAACTGAAGTATGTGTATTTCAGCAACTAATATCATTCTATAATTCAAATAACTGTCTAAAATACTGTCAACTTCATAGCATATTCCAAGATTGAAATACATTCTTGCAGTTGGACTCAAATTTACAAAAATGACAATTCTAAAATATAATATTTAGATATTCTGTAATATAAAATATGGCTATTTTCTACTTGAATAGTGTATTTATGTGACCAAAGATGTAACAAGAAAAGGCAGTGTGGACGTCACAGATGCAATCAGAAATGCTGTATAGTAAGTAGAATCAACCATAATATCAAGATTATCTTCTTATATCATTAGCCATCATATATCTGAATATTTAGTTTTAATGTAGTATTATCTATCTTTATCGTAGGATAAAGATCACCAATGTGAATTAGTTTGTGGTAAAAAACTAAGATGTGGTACGCATAATTGTGAAGAACTTTGTCATAGAGGCTATTGTCCTCCATGTTTTATGACTGGTAAGTCATTCTGGATCTTTCTATTTCATTATTTTCATTTCCCTTCCGTTCACTTTCTTTCTTTTTTGTTTCATTCCTCTTAAGTTACCTCTTTTCCATTTCTTTTTATTCTTTTTTTTTTCAACCTATCTAAATATTCCCATTATTTGTTCTTATCTGGGATCTCTAAATTATGTTCTTTTTTCACTACTTCCTTCCCTTAGCAAAGACATAAAATAAAAGAAAAAATGAAAGCAAAAACAAGGATATAGGAATGTCAGACTAACTTCTTCTTTTATACTATTTTGGCTTTTCGCACCAAGTTTATTTAGTAAGAGTATTGACGTGACGCTCTTGCCTTCTTTATCTTGACTTGGTTTTAATGTTTTTTTTTTTATTGTCTGTCTATTGTTTGTGTTAGGTTTTGAGGAGGTAACATGTCACTGTGGTACTACTATAATGTATCCACCTATACCATGTGGAACCCCTCCTCCTGAGTGCACCAGGCCTTGTTCTAGATTGCATCCTTGTTCGCATCCAGGTTAGCCCATCTTGAGATGAAGTTGTTCATTTAATGTTAATTGTATTCTTTCTTAGACAATTTTTTTCTATTAAATATTCATTTTTTATTTTTCGCAGTGAATCATTTATGCCACAGTGAAGATGTCTGCCCTCCTTGTACGATATTGACCAAGAAAATGTGCCATGGAAACCATAAGGTAAGCTGCTTGCTCAGTTCTGTGAAAGTACAGGTTGATATATAAACTGAAAGTGTCAAGGCCTATATGTAGAGTGAACACTATATCAAACTCTGCACAGTTTGTTCCCGTTCAAGGCAATGCTAAGGACTGAAACTAGTTGCAAAGGTTTTGAAATCCTGGTCCAAAACCAATTTTGAAGATGGCATGTACTTGGCATCAAATACCAACTCATTTATCCCACTTCTGTCAACTGGCTGTTGTTCTACTTAATAAATGGACAACAAAGTTGAGTGGGCTATAAGTTGATAGTCCATGAGAGCCTTTCCAGTTGAATGGACTATCAACTCATAGCTCATGAGACAGAGACATTGATTTAATTTCTTCAGAGAGAGACTAATTACTTCACAGAGAACTAGGTTTTCCAGAGTGATGTATTAATTGGTGATTTGTTAATAATAGCTTCGTTTAAATGTACCGTGCCATGTAACGGATGTATCATGTGGAATATCTTGTGGATCTAAACTGAAGTGTGGACACAACTGCATCAAGCTGTGCCATAAGGTAAGGTCATAAACTTTGTAGGTTTGAGCTATTGGAGGATTATTTATCATTATGGTATCTATCAAAAATACATTCATATTTGTCATTGTTCAAGCTTAAGCTTAATACTGCAGTTTACTTATATTGTGAACATTTTTTGACATTCTTTAGCCACCTTGTGACAGTGAGCCATGTATGCAGCCATGCAAAGAAAAACGCACAGAATGTGCACACTTGTGTGGTTCTGTATGCCATTATGGATCACCTTGTCCAGATGTTCCTTGCCAAGTGAAGGTACATTAAACTCATAATTGTGTCATATGTTATGATCAATATTTTCCCAAAGGTTTTAGAAATACATGTGGATGACTGTCGTAGGGAGAAGTTAAAGGGAAAGGACAAAGATAACTGGGAAAGGGCAGATGAGAAAGGAGAGACTGAGAGGGGGTTCATGGGAGTATGCAAGGGAGGTTAAATAGGGCTGGAAATGGTGAAGGCACTTGGGCTTACATAAACAGTTTTTAGAAACTATTTAAAATTGTATATGAATTTAGGCCTATAATTGTTGTTGACAAAACGAAGTTATGCCATGATAACTAGGATTCTTACTAATGAAATGTTTTCCTGATTATCAGATAACCATTTCATGTAAATGTGGACGGCGGTCAGAAAGTGTACCATGTCTTCAAGGTGGTGACAAAACAGCATTGGCACAGTTTTATCAACGGTATTAACACAAGACCATTCACACAATTAATATCAAGTCTCACACTGTGATTTTGTTTGATTTTGTTAGCATGACAACTGAATCACTAGCCAGTAAAATGAAAGATGTTCAGCTTGGTCAATCAGTTGATATCAGTACAGTTATCATGCTGGATGAAAAATCTGCCAGATAGTAAGTAATAGAAAATCAGCTATGAAATGAGGGGGCTGTGAATTTTACTTATATTCATGGAAAAACATTTTAAACTGTTTACATAAAACTAGGGTGAATGAAGTGTGTAATTTACTTATGTGTCAAATATTAAAAAAGATATGAAAAAATAATTGAGTTGAGAGGTTGGGAATTACCACAGGAATTRGAATGGAAGYAAACAATTCAACAATTCACCAGCAACTGCTTTACAGATCAATGTATTGAGATGTTGTCAARTATATTGTTTGTTAAATTGTAGTATTGAATGTAATGACGAATGTGCTCACATGGAACGTGTAAGGTTAGTATCAATAAAGGAACTTGGCAATTTCTATGTTACATGTAGCATGGTTAACTTGAATYATTGTTATAATTTATTATTATCAGRCGCATGGCTGCAGCCCTAGGAATAGATGAAAGTGAGGAACCTTCTGTTGGTCAGCGTATGCTCTACTCACCTTTCTTGATGAATGAGGCAAAGTAAGCAATAAATATAGAAAATAATATATAACACAATGTTGAGCAGCAGCTCTATGTCAACAATTTGAAGATTGTGCAAATGAAGGAGCGATGATTTGAAATAGAAGTCTAGGGATGGTGAAGGAATCTCATATGAACTTGGAATATGAATATGGTTTTAAGTAATTTATTTAATCAATGTGATATCTATTTATCTTATAAGTATTCATTATTATAGAAGCAACTTAACTTTCATCAAGTCTATTGAAGAAGCCTTTGAAAATCTGGTTTCAGTTGCTCAAAAGGTAMGTTTTTGAAAAAATTAAGATCTAATAATACAGTTTATTATACYCCTTTTTGTAAATAAAATTGTRCAATTGTACCATATAATTACAAATTCTTAATTCTTTTKTCATCAGATTCCATCTGGTCAGAAAAGTCATTCCTTTCCTCCAATGAATTCTAACCAAAGACGAATCATCCATGAGCTTGCTCTTCACTATGGATGTTCAAGTGTCAGTTATGATGCAGAGCCAAAGCGTAATACTGTTATTACTGCTTATAAGTAAGTGTACAGAATGTATTGATAAGATATTACAACTCTAAAATAACAAGTAAATTCAATTTTCATAAACATGCTCTAACTGTCTATTGCTATACCCAAAATTTATGATTTCTATTTTTAAGAGACGTCAAAGTGAGAATTTTGCATAAAAGTACTATATAAACTAGGACAAATCCTGATTTTGCCCGTGCAAACTGATGACAGTCTAGTCTTTTTGCCAGCATAACACAGGATGATACAGATTGGAACAGTGTATAAATACAAAATTGTTTGTTAGCTTGTGCTTGTAGGGTCTTAAAATAGGTATCCAAGTTAATTTATGCATACCTAGAAACCAATTGTCGAGTCCAACCCTAAAACTTATGTGTGGAAGATTTGTGTGTACTCTACCAATGAATTATTTTCTGTTTGTTATTATTTTTGTAGAAAATCTCATCTTCCACCATCTACTTTATCATCTCAAGTTGAGCGTCAAAAGAACCCACCACCACCACCCCCTATGCCTTATGTGCCAACTGATGCCATCACAAAAGCCAGGTTTGTAGCTCACAACTTAGCTGTTGTGTTTCAATTTGAAATATTATTATTCATTGTGTGATATGAATGTTTTTTATCAATTCTATAGAGTGATTAAAGAAGAGAAAAAAGCTAAAACCTGGGCTCAAGTTCCGGATTACTTTGCTGATGATTTCACTGACTAAGCAAATAAGACCCACATCATCCAGTATTGTCAAACTCAAGCCCATAGAAATTGTAATTTTAAGTTAACAATGTGTTCCTCACTGGAAGTGTAATTTTGGGTTACGCACTAACAAKAATTTGTTAGTGTTTCTTGGGTTCATTGAAACAAATCTTACTATCATATATAAAACAACTTTGTAACAACTTTACGTTTTTAGAATTAGAATACTGTCTTGCTAAGTAAAACTTTTTTCTCCAAGAATACAGACTGCATTCAAGAATTTTTTTGAAAAATAAAAATGCTCTAAAATGAAAATATTATGTCACCTCTATGTTAAATATTGAGTTGATGCACTAGGAAATGCAAATTAATAAAAATGTACAATCTTCAATATCTGTTTATCCCATTTTTTTATCACTTCATCAGCGAACTTAATCCATCTCTATCAGGGAAGGGAGAGAAGGAGGAGTAATTTTAAAACCACCCATTTTTTTAAAATATTAAGATTGCTCTTTTGTATGATCAAGAAGAATATGGAAAAAAATTAAAAGAAATTTTTTAGCCCAAGATATGATTTGAAGTGACAGTCATTGAATATAGTTTTTTTATATTGGGCTTCCTGTGGCATCCGGAAGTTTCCAGCTATGGTGATTTCGATTCCGTTATGTTTTTTTTTTTTTTTTGTCTTTAGATTATTTTTCTATGGAATGTTCATGCATATGCCCTTAATGCGTATTTAGCTTAGATATGAATATGGTTCTGCTAGCTTCTGGGATACCTGTGCCTTAGAATCCTCCGGCCTCCATGGTCTGGCCTGGTGACTCAGCAAGTTACAAAATCAAAGATGGCGGCACCGACAAAGAAAAACGAGGTTGGCTTATTCGAAGAAGACGACGAATTCGAGGAGTTTCCAGCCGAAGGTAAGACAYAGTTTTGATRAATACAGTATGTAATCCATTTCCTGATAGAAAACGTTTAGCTTTAACTTGTTTTTACCAAAGAAAAAAGAGTTTTAGAGATGTGACAATGTCCATCATGGGAAGGCCGTGTCTAAGCAGTTTTGACTTATCAATGCTCTCGTGATATAGTCTCATCTTTCAATTTTATATATCAGAAAACTTCATGTGTTGAATTTATTTGATAAAGTTTTKTCGATGTAATTTAGAATGGACGGAGCAAGACGAAGACCAAGATGACATCCATGTTTGGGAAGACAACTGGGACGATGACGCCGTCGAAGATGACTTTTCAAATCAACTTAGGTATAAATACCGAGCTTTATTAGAACCGAGATTTTTATTGATTAGATTGATATTAGATACATGTTATACTATAAGTACATGAGAATGTTTGTTGGGAAAAAATGTTCAATTCTTGTCTCTGCTAGCAACATAAGGTCCCTCATACCAAGCCAAAACATTGAGTGCAACATAACCTAATGACTCGGGGTGAGATGAACGGATTCAAGTGAATATAATTTCAAATAGAAATGGTCAATCAACATTGCTTACAAACTGTTATGTTTAAAGATAAAAATACAGTTTATTATACACTAATAATTATATGACAATAATATTCTTTTCTTTCCATTGATGCTCTATGATATATTGTAAAGGCCCGTTTATACTTGTGATTTATGCAAGATTGTTGCGTTAAATCGTCACTTTGCTATTGCACAACTCAAATAGTATGTGTAAACAGCCCTGCTATTGTGATTCATTACAAATTGATAAAAAATGACATATTGAAAGGTCATTGAGGCAAATTTTCCACTGTCCAGTGGTAGGAATGGTTAATTTTGTACCTATTTGAGCAGAAATTGCAGTGAATGTGCAGCTAAATTTCAAGCATATTTGAAACAATGATCTTGGCAACAATCACAGGTTTGTTTACMTGTATAATWTGAGGTATGCGATATTGCAAAATTGCAAGAATACACTGCAGGCTGATGCAATSTTCAAACTAACAAATGGAAATYGAGATACAYAACTGCACTGAATGCTGGTTCACCTTGGCAGTTMAATAAAATGCAACAWTTTTTTCTTTACAGGGCAGAATTAGAAAAACATGGACATAAAGTAGAACAGCAAGAACCCATGAAGTCATGACAACAGTTGTTTAATGTTCATTCTGTACTTGTTCAAACTTGTAAAACTGTACTTCTGTTTCATTCTTGTTCTGTAAAATAGTTTTCTTTTATATTGCAAAAAATAAACTTGGCTATAATCTGGCGCAAACATTCACTGTAGTACCATGGTATTCTTTGGACAGCATGTAGGGGATAGCATGCTGTAGGGGKATAATAATATTGGATTTCCCACTGCACTCCCTTGAAGAAATCTTTTCAAATCTCCCATCAGAATCCTGGACTGATAAATATTCACTGATATTTGTTGAAAATACTGAAGAAATCACCCTAGTTAAAGCTACAGTAATATGAGCAGCAAAATTGACCTGGCAACATTGCTGCAAAACAGTTGGAAAGCTGTAACTTGCGCTTTCAATTAACCAACTTTCTCGCAGAACTAAGTTTAGTTTGTTGTAAAATGCGCGTATTGCTACAACAGTCGAACTTTTCTCGAAGTGAAAAACTACGAGCGAYAAATAAGCAAGGTGACTAGATTATTGACAGATTACAAGATTATTTTGCTGACAAGTTGACTGGCCAGTAGTCCTCGCTCCCGTCCGCCTATCTGAACGCCTTTCAATTGAAGATAAGTCATGAATTATTCATCAGAATAGTCCCTTAGACATGCTCGTACTGAATTAAATAAATCCTAAACTTAAGAGTAACTCATT